GACAGATGGCGGAGATCTCCTCCGCTGGGATAGTCTCATACGAAGTTCCAGAATCCAGCGCGGCTTGGAGAACATGTAATAAATCTTTCCCAGTTGTTAAATACTCTTGCATGTACCCTTCACACGAAGCTAACTGTACATCAGCCTCGCCCCCACTGAAACCGGCTATTGCAGCAAGGCGCTATCCGTCTTCGTACTTGGTATTGCTTTATTGCACCTCCCACTCAGCGTTAACTTCAATTCTATGCCCATGGTATTCCAGGGGCTTTTCTTTTTGTTTGCAAGCAAAAGGTGATATGCTGCTGAAGCTCTGCTAACCCTTCTCCGGGGTTAATCACCACATCGGCACATCCTCTGGTAGCTTTCCTTTTGGTTGAATGTCATCCACACATTGCTTCTCCGAGAGCCACTCCTCATGGCGGCCAAATTTCTCGAGCGAGTCAAGCCAACCGAAAGGCTTGCATGGTCTTGATATTTACAATATCACATTGCACAATAAGGACCGCACTGTAAGAAGATGCCACTCGAAGTACGCTGACTGGGATTAATTTACCTTGAAAACACGGTGAAGACTCTTGTGGTGCTTGAGTGATTTTCCTACGCGAAGACCTGAATTTATGCATGTATGTGTGCTAATAGGAGTTCAACAATTGATGATAAGCAGAACAACATCTTAGTGGTGGTTGTACGCTGCTTGCACCGTTCATGAGCATGCTAACTGGGGACTGGTTGAATGATTGTGTTGTTATTTTTTATTTCTAAAAATATGATGCCCTAGTAAGCCCTTTAGAATTAATCTAACAGGCTTTCGGCATTCGCTATAGCAGAAGTTATTCGTGACCAATTGTGGACTGACGATGATTGTATAAATGAGGGAAGAATAAAATATATCTGCTCTGGCCCTCATGGTCATCTTTACAGGTGAATCAGACATAGGTGTTTCAAAAAAAAACACAGCTCTGTATAATGGACTAAAGCTAGACGGTCTTCTCATGGCCAGCATGTCCAGAACACCGACCGTATTAATTGGGATATGGATTTCGGAAAGTTGGAAGGTGCGGCGAAGGCAGGGTTTGACTCATTCTCCGATCCAGATGAGGTCGATTGTTTCCAAGGCACTAGGGTTGAGCTCCTCCAGCGTATAATGGAATGGGATATATCGCCGTGCCGAAAAAGCGTGTTCTGGTTAAACGGAATGGCTGAACAAGGAAATCTACAGTATTTCGGACTGTGGTAAAGTTGAAATTATGATTACCAGAACCTAACTCTTCATGGGATCTCCGAAAAAGGATCGGTTGGGATTTGAAATTGCGAGGATAATCGCCGCTGGGTATTAAAGTAAGATCTGAGATGGCATACACATTTGCACTTGGCAAAGGTAGTGTGCACTCCTGCAAGAAGTACAAAGCTTGATAAAAGCATTTTTCTTTTCAGTTTTGCATGAACTCGGTTACGGCTAGGGCTTTCTATCTAGGGCCCCAACTTTGGGATAGGCTTCGAAAACCGGACGACAACCAAACAAAACATCGGTGCACAGCCGTATACGCGTGAAGATTCGTAGATGCAAAGTGCATGAAGGCTATGGGGGCCAAGCTGTGTGTCACGAGTGACTCCTTGGCACATTTTAATTTTTATTTCCTAATGGAGGAATGTAGGGAAGCCAAGGACGGTATTCAGGGCGCATAAATGCCGTGCCTCAGCCGAATCTCAAAAGAGGAAACAAAGCTAACTATGCAAATATACACAGCCTTCCTATAATCTTTTATTAGTTGGCCCGCGTATTTTCTGGCCCCATGCACTATTGTCTCTTCCGCCGTTGCGCGCAGTCGCAATGTCCTGGCCACGCTTCCGATGCCAAAATGTCATTTTAGAAAGAGGAAAAACTTGTTGTGTTGGAGATGCTGGAAAAATCAAAACTATATTACAAATGTCGTGATTATATATAGCTTATGATTCATGTTCGTGGATCGTCTCGCTGCCCCCAACTCGTCCTCTTTCATCTGAACTGACACTCGCGTCTGAAATCTCAGATCCATGACGTGGGCGCTGCATGTTCTCATCGTCAAAGGATTCCTGGAAATACGAGGTCCGGCCGGTGACCACATTATCGATTGAGAAGGACGGTGCTATCGAGAGTGATGACGGGCGCCGGTAGTGAGATGGCGGGTAGGAATGTCCCGAGTCAGACTCACCACGGGTGTATAGGGAGACTGGAGAGTGGGAGTCTCGCACTGGACCCAGCTGTGGGGACATATTGGGCGTGGAACGGGGAACGTTAAACTGCGTAGGAAGTTCGACGGGCGAGGAATCTGAATGTCGGAGTTAGCATTAAGCGAGATCTCTTATGCAGTTAGACGAGGTAAATACCATGCAACTCATATACCTCGTCTCCTCCGGATTCAACTGTACCAGGAGTTACCGAAGTGATGGCTGAATCTTGCGTCGTTTCTACGCCTGTGGATTCAGATACTGGACCGGGGCCGGGGGAGGTCGGTCCGCCTGAATACGTCCATTGAGGCTTTTCCTTGGTATCGCTCTCTGTTGTAGCCGCGACTGCTGCAGCACGACGTTGATTGCGACGTCGGCGATACAACCAGAACCCTACTGCAAGGAGCACAATGCCAAAGAGACCACAGAGCACACCGATCACTGCGGCAGCCCAGGTGGGAAGTCCGCCACTTTTGGAGTTTCTCCCGGCGGTGCTGGAGCCATTGTTATAGGGCCAGTAGGTTTCAATGGTCTTGCTGTACTTCTTGTCAAACATTCCGGCTAGAGAGGTGTTGGTCCATGATGATGGGGCAGTGGTGGTTGCACCTCCTGAAGAGCTACATGAGAAGTGAGCCATGAAGTTTCTCCTTGGGTATTTGCCAATTGTTTATTTACCTTCCCCCGATTTCTGCTGTTACAATATCAGGCACTTGATACTCACCCCACTGCGTGGGATCATAGTCCTCAAAACGTAGGCTGTTGAGGTTGAAATTGACGATGACACCATCTTCTAGACAGTGTGTTGGGTCGATATGCATTCCCCCAAGCGCCAGCATCTGGTCTGGATATACTTTGATGCATCGATGCCCGACTCGTCCATGTGTGTTTGTGCCGCTGTACGCCTTGATCCATTTAAAGGAAGGCAGAGACAGGATATACACATCATCTGACGCATTCTCGTCATAGACGAGACCACTGTACCCACCGTAGATATAAATATTATGCGAGGAGCCGTCGGCCGCGCTAGCAAGCACAGAGCAGAACTGCGTCAACTGTGGCGGTGTATCACCCGTCGTGTTTTGGAGATACCATGTTTGACTCTTCACATCGTAAACGGAGACCGTGTCCATAAACATTGGGCTGACTCTCTTGCTCTCTGCCGTCTGCGATTTGTCCAGCCCGATTCGCCACATTTCAACTGGATTAACCACTCCCCCAATGGCCACCAGAACTCCAGAATCAGACACAGGCACCCAAACCAGCTCTGCATTAGCACGGCCAGGGACATAGCTCGGTAGTGTATGATTGTACCACTTCTCATCCCTCATCACGGACATATCCACGGTGATGAGCGTGTCGGCCGTTGTGTTGGGCTCTGGGTGACCGTAGCTGAAATATCCCCAGTCCGGGGCGCGCATTCCGCTAAAGTAGAAGCCCAGGTTCTCGCTGGGTGCCGACACTCCAGCGCCATTTGTGATATATCTTGTGACGTTGGTAGAAAGGTACCCTTCGTGCCAGCCAGGCGTCCAGATATTACGATATGGGCCATACTGGTAGGCTTCGTAACCAAGAACCTTGTTATCAGGTGGCTGTTCACTGGACGTGGTGGCATGGGCCCTGCCTCTGGAATGGTTTATTTTAGTCAGTGGTCAGTATTTGCTATATGAGTGAGAACCACAAACCCATAGAGGTAAAACTCATCGTCATTGGCAAACATCACGCCGTCAACGTAATTTGGAGCTATGTTATTGGCAGCACCGCCGGCAACGCTCATATTTTTGAGGACGGTCATGAAATCCGAGCTGGTGTTGAAAGGTGTAGAAAGATTAAGGTAATAGATGGTGCCCTCCAGATTTCCTGTTCTGGGTTAGCTGGGTATATCTCATCAGTTTTTGTATTCGATCCACCCTTTACCATCATTCTTAGAATTAACGCAACCGTCTGAATACCCTCTGCAATTGTCAGTGCCAATCAACATCCATATGGGAGTGACTAGTACTGCTGAAGCCACAACTGTCCTCCATCTAGATAGATCGTATCGCGAAGAACGTTGGCTACTATTATCAGTACTCAAAAACTCTGACCACAGCGGCCGCAACAAAAATAAATACTTACCACGCAGTCCTTGCCAGTTGCACATGGAGATGTTGATCTGCGTCTGCCATGAACCGCATGCACCCACAGCGCAGTCTACCACGACTGCCAGCAGCGTGAAAACCGTCGCTAAGAAAAACAACATTTTCTTTCTTTATTTTAATTTTTTCAAACAATGGCAGCTGCAGTTGCGCTCGTTGCTGTCTGAGTTGTCAACTGGGAAAGGGCGAGCTGGGATCCCAACTGCTGACATATGGGGCTACGGTGACCGCTAGATGCAGGCTTTTGGATAGACCCGGAAGACGAGGGGCTAAGTCTCCGATTTCAACCCGCGATGCGGCTTTGCTTCCATGTCTTTGATATTCTATCACTTCGTGTCTGCCCGAACACGACAATCCCCCACTGTGGAGGCCCCGAGCCAACCACAGATGCCGATGCACGGCCTCGAATGCACCTCAAATCCGAGCTGCTCTGAACATTTCCATGAACAGTCTTGAAGTCGGAATAATGCGACCTGGATGCTGTGGACAACCAGCAGCGGGGAAATACTACTCAAGTAATTCCTGCCAACTGAAATACATGCGAATACGAGTTCCACCCTTGTCCCGAACTGCATAGTGGCAGTGTCCAATTTGAGCCTCACGATGCTATCCGTGCATATTGCGTCTGTTTGTTGACTCGGTCGAGGGCTTTTTTGTTTTGTTTTTTTTTTTTTGTCTTCACCAGCCTGCGAGTATCCTTCTCCAAAAGAGATAACCATGAGGGCTTCGATTTCAGTCGCATGGCTGTCGCTGTTAGCGACCAGTGCCTTTGCTCGGTCTACAAGAGCCTATGGCAGTGAGATGCTCACGCCTGTCCCGACGCCGCCGGCTGTTATCAGAGGCATGCCAGCAGGAGAATTAGAACGGGTGACGGTCACGATAACAGTAGGAGTTAGTGTTTGGCTGGGTGATTCCGAGACTTGCACTGGCGCGCCGGCGGGTACTGTCACAGATACTGTCACTAATTCAATCACCGACACCGTTACTCGAACTGTTTTTGAGACTGGAAAGGTCACTGTAACAGATACCGTCAGTGCCCCTGCAGTGGCTGTCACAGATGTCTCGACAAAAACTGTCACTGTTGACCAGTCATCGGTTCCAACCTCGACAGTGAGGACTACTGTTGGTGGTTCAACGGTCACGTCTACTGTCGGCGGTCCAACAGTGACAACGACTATTGATGGCCCAACAGTGACGACGACTACCGGTGGCTCAACGGTCACGTCTACTGTCAGCGGTTCAACAGTCACGTCTACTGTCGGTGGCTCAACGGTCACGGACGCCTCCACAGTAACGATTACCATGAGCGAGTCAACCGTCACTGCGCCAGGAACCACTGTCAATATTCCGGGAACGACATTCCCAGGAACCACCGTGGTGACGAGCGAAACTATTCCGGGGTCGGTCACCACTATTCCAGGGTCAGTTACAACCGTTCCAGCGTCGACTCTCACGACATTCATCAGTCAGCCTGCTAGCACTGTCACTTTGTCTGGAGGCACTAGCACCCTGCCAGGTTCAACTACTACCGCGACAATCACGCGTCCTGGTGGTACAGTGACTGTTGTGGGATCAACTGCAATAGTCGACACCGTCACAGCCCCAGGTACATCTTCCCCGCCCACGTAGATTGACGTTGCAAGCATTGACATGATCAGGCTCAGAAGCCACTGAAATGGCTCCCATGACCGTGACTGAAACCACCTCCGGTCAGGGAACGACGCTGACACAAAGTTCCGTCGGCACTACCACCGTCTCCATCTCAGTCTGTTCCAGTCTCGTCAGCAATCCAACCTATACGCCTGCTACGCAGCTACCAACAGACTATACTTGGGGTTGCCCACCTGGATATCTCTGCCAACCCTCTCATACGGGTGACCGTGCCGGCTGCAATGCTGAAGCCGGTGTTCCCGCTGATGGCTACGTCTGCGCCCCCTCGGATTGCATTCCCGCTCCACCCTTGATTTACAACCAATCCGTGGCTACTGATGAAAATGGCCACCACTTCAATATCTCCAAGGATTATTACAACCTTGATCCGGATGACTTTGGTCTGAACTACTCCATCTTCCGGATTTCAGGCTCCGCAGCGTCTAAGAGGAAACGCGATGCCAAATCGTTCTGGGACCTCCTCGTCGGCCGAAATGCCAAGAGAGACATCTCGGATATTCCTGGTCAATGTTATAATGATTGTAATGAGGCTTCACTGATGCCACAATCACTCGGGAAGACGCCGGAGCTGTGCGAAAGCGACTCGTTCACAGCCGAGTTGGGACACTGTAAGACGTGCATCAGCAATAATGCTGACTCGGACTCGGATGATCAATATTCACAAAGAATGTTGCCGACGTTTGCACAGTACCTGAATTATTGCTCTGGTCTGGCGACGACTTCCACGAGTACCACAGCAGGGACAACTGCTACCAGCACCACGGCCTCAACAGCAGCCACTACAACGAGCACTCTTGCCACCAACGGGACTACTACAACCATTACTCAGACTGGGGAAACGACCAGCATAGCCCCGACAACTCCAGTAGCTGGACTGAGCACAACCACGGTGGAGGTGTCTAGGACTGAAAGCATCCGGACTCCCGACGAAAGCGCATCGACCACAGTATCCAGTAGTCCCAGTGGCACGGAAACCCCATCTGCCTCTTCTACTTCATCCAATGTGGCAGTATCAACTATGGGAGTCCCTCATAAAGGCTTACTAAGTCTGTTGCTGGCTCTTTTCGCAACTCCATTCTTTTAAAATGCTTAAATGTTACGATATTTCATTTATTATTTGCGAGGTATACATTCGCGATGATGGTGATGGATTGATATGCTGTTTCTAGACTCTTCTGGGCTCCCAACTATACAATGCTAAACTTGCGCTACACTGTCATTGCCCTACACGTATCATCCTGTGTAGAGTGGTACGGCGAGTCCGCAAAACCCGCTCCAATTCGTTCCGAATCCGCAATGGAGCGGGCTCAGGTGGAAGTTGAGAAAGTCTGCAATGGCGGCAGATTATACATGCAGGATCCGCAGTGACTTGGGGATAATCCGAATAGAGTGGTTTATATGTCTTGGTGAGTGAAGTGAATCTGGTAAATGAAACTGAGGGTTGGATGTAAAGAGTTGTGAGCAGTGCGCCCACATCCAATCCTGATAGAGCAGTTATCAAAATACAAGATATTCCATAATGTCCCTTAAGTGTAACAATTTTCCGGAGCTGTTGACCTGATGAAGGCATTTCATCTATTGCGGAAACTGGGTATTGAAGTAAGACTTGTCGCAATACTTTTTTTTTTTTTTTTTTTTTTTTGCAAGATCTGAGAGGGAACGGATTAGTGATACAGTACTTAATAGAGTAATTTATATCAAGTAGAAAAGAAAAGAACAATGAGTTTTCACGGACTTACAATGAATCATAAGTATTTGAATAGTATGAGACAACAGACAAAGCATGGTTGCAAGGAAGGAATATGATGTTATGTTTGGCTGATGGGCAAGAACACTTTTATAACACTTTGCCAGTAGGGATCATTTACTGTTGTATTTTTCGCACGGCCTTGCTTGCTCCTGGGATTTTTCAGACTCCTAGGAGCACTGGCCTGGATCCTAAGATGGCTGCTCTTGTTCTTGAGAGCTAGGAGCACACTCCCCAGACATAGGGTAACCTCTGGAGTGAATTGAATCTTCATGGGAGCTTAGTTTACCCCTCTATCTCTGGGGAGAAGTTGACATGGTAAGAAGCGGAGCAGAAGGAATGATGACCTCAATTCCCTGTTCCATTGACAGTGCCATCGCTTTGTTGAGTTTATTGAGGCTACCCTAGTCAGGCTACTCACCTCTCTGCTCAGTCCCCTACTCAGGTCTACGCAGTGAGCAAAAAGCGGCGAGGGGTGAGCACTAAAACGGAAAGGGAAAGCCTTCGAGCTGTCAAGAAAAACAGTACGATTATATCCATCGTCTTAGCTTCGCCAATGCTAAACATACAATCACCACAGCAGCCAGTCCTCCAATGATCCCAAACCACCAAGCCACCTCCGACACTTCCTGCCCCGGAACCTCCACGTTCATGCCAAACGAGCTGATGAGCGCCTGCATCGGCACGAACATGGTCCCCAGAACTGTAAGCTTGCTCAGCGTGTCCAGAGTTGTGTTGCGCGTGCGGTTGTTGTCCATAGACAACTGTTCCACATACTTCATTTGCGATCCGGACAGCATTTGTTCAGAGTGGGCCAGATTGGATATCATCGTTAGGACGTGATCTTGGATATCACTGAGATATACCACGACTTCGCATGAAGGCGTAATGAAACAGCGTTCGTCGCAGCGCCGTGCGAAACTCTTGATTACATCGGTCTTGTCGGTCAGGAGACGGCGGATGCGGATAATCTCCTTGCGACACTTGTAGATCTGTTGCAGCACCAGACTGATATCGTCCGGGCGTGTGATGGCAAAGCTGTCGTCCATGGTCTCAATGCCTTGTTGGACCTTGCGAATAGACGGACCGAATCCGTCCACGATGTCATCACTTCCTTGTCAGTCTCAACTCGTTTCAGTTGGCAGAGTAGAAAAACCTACATAAGTGCATAACATATCCAGTCACTGGTCAACGCCAGGTGACTCTTATGCTCCATTATGCGACTGCGCACATTCGCCGCATGTGGACTAGGTCCAAAAGTGACACTGATAATGCCACCCCGGAAGACGAGGGCATACTGGTTCAGAATCGACCAACTCGTCCCTCCGGCCCTGCGGTTCGGATGGGACGACCGTAGTGAAACAAAATAGTAATGGCCAAACAGCTCGATTTTTTCTCGTGTCTCCTGTACCCCGATATCCTCAGTCGTCAATGGATGGATCCCGAAGACTTTGGAGAGCCATTCAATATCTTCCATGGACGGCGCAGTGGCATCTATCCACCACACATCCTCAGCCTCCCCATTTTCCAACAGGTCGCTCACTGGCTGATGCGTTGTAGCCAAAGAATTCAGATCGGACGCGTGGATGGCATATTCCAGCCCGGGGGAGTAGAAACTGAACTGTGTCGTCGGCCGATCAGGGGAGTCGTCAGGGGCATCCGGGCCCCGATGGCGTTGGTCGTCTGGGGAAGCGATACTGTGCTGCGAGTTCGACTTCCAGAACCGCAAATCATTCTGACCGTCTATATGAGTGCTCTTTTCGGACCAGATCGATCGCACATCGTCGTTACTATCGTTGTTGGCGTTGATCCCTCGATCAGCGAAGGCCCGCGGGCTCACAGCACTCAAGTCCGACGCTCCCATACTGTTGGGGGAGACAACCACTGGATTCCGGCAATTTCAGACATAGATGGAGATGAGGGCATGCAGACAGAAGGCATCCTGATCCCGAGTCTGTCAGTCTGTCTCTTGTCGTTTGAGGCTGTGAAATGCGAGTTTTCTGCTGGTGACGTGGGTGTGAGAATTGAGAGCAGGCGGTGGTGCGCGGCATAAAAGTCCGGATGAACCGAGGTCGGCCAAAGTCAATCTCATCGCTCATCGCATACAAGACAACCAATACGGCAAAATACTCCCACCATGAGACATTCAAAGATCTCTGGATAGCATCGGAAAGCCTGTTCAGGCATGTGATGTGCGTTTTATCGTGATATTACCCGGAATGCTACGTTATCCGACCAATCCCAACGGACCATGAAGCCATCCAGACCGACAGCGATAGCAAAGAAGATAGCGAAGATCTTTCCCAGTGCTTGATTGACCCCGCTGGGATTTTACAGAGCACAAGTACTCCATAATCCGGGGAATCGCATCTGTCCATCATCTTCGTGGGCAGCAACATGGGATTCTTCGCAACCCTATCGCCCGAGCGCCGGCTTCTATGGAAGATCGACTTCTTCATCCTCTCCTTCTGCTGTGTTACTTACTTCTTTAATTACCTCGATCGCTCCAATTTGACCAATGCGTATGTGTCCGGTATGCAGGAGGAGCTTGCCTTTCACGGCAACCAACTCAATGTCATCAACACCGTGTTTACCGTCGGTTACATTATCGGCCAGATCCCGTCCAATCTGGCAGTGACTTATGTCCGGCCGCGCTACTTCTTCCCGGCCATGGTTCTTTTCTGGGGCGGGCTTACGATGATCACGGCCGCGGTGCGTAATCCTCAGGGTATCATGGCGATACGGTTCTTTTTGGGCGTAGCGGAGGCTAGTACGTTTGCTGGAACGCATTATATCCTGGGATCGTGGTATACAGAGAGCGAATTGGGGAAGCGAAGTGGCATCTTCACGGCCTCGGGGCTTGCGGGGACGATGTTTGGAGGGTTTATCCAGACTGGTATACATTCGTCGCTGGATGGTACGTCGGGAATGTCGGGATGGAGATGGCTGTTTATCGTAAGTTTTCTTGTGTTTCATTGTCTGGGCTGGGATTGACGATTCAGATTGATGGTCTCATCACGTTTCCAATCGCGATTTACGGCCTATTCCTGTTTCCCGATACTCCGACTACCACGCGAGCTCCGTATCTGACAGAGTCGGAACGCGCCTTGGCTGTCTCTCGCCTGCCTGAAGTCAATGCCGACAAAGCTCCATTGGACCTCAAGTTCATCAAACGGCTCTTCACCACCTGGTACTGGTGGGGGTTCGTCATCCTTTGGGTCATTGCGGGGGAAACCGAATCGTTTTCCAGTAATACTTTACTGGCTTTGTACATGAAGGCGCATCCGACCATTCATTACTCAGTCGCTCAGTTAAACAACTACCCTACTGGCGTTCCCGCAGTCGGCATCATATCGACTTTGTTCTGGTCCTGGTTGACGGATATCCTACGCGGAAAGCGGTATATGGTTGGCTATTTCATTGGAATCACCTGCATCGTGACCTCAGTCTTGATCCTGACCCAGTTTGACTCGACTGCGACCGTCTTCGGGGCATACTACTGGGCCGGAGCGGTGTATGCTTGCCAGGCCACATTTTTTGCATGGTGCAACGACGCCATGCGGGCGCAGGATGCACGACAGCGGTCTGTGGTAATTGCCAGCATGAACCTGGGGAACAACGCGGTCAATGCGTGGTGGAGCATTATTTTCTACTCTGCAGATCTGGCACCGCGCTTTACGCGGGGTATGTGGGCGATGGTGGGCTGTTCGATCGCGTTGATTCTGTGGACCTCGGGAATCTGGTTTGTGACTGCGAGAGAGGAACGGCAGCCAGTTCAGGATGAACCAAAGGCAGAGAGACAAATAGTGAAGCATGAATAGTACATAGTAGCATCTAAATACATACCTGCATAATCTGCATAATTTGTCAGCATACATCATCGCACTTCATCCTCAACCTCATCTCAACCGTCCAATTACATCAATCCAACCATGGCCACGTATCTCATCACCGGCTCCTCACGCGGCCTCGGACTAGGCCTAGTATCTCGCCTGGCATCACTCCCATCTTCTGATGTCGGTGCTGTCATTGCCACATCCCGCCAGGACAACTCGCCCCGTCTCCGGGACTTGGTTGACGGCTCATCTGGCCGGGTGGGGTTCGCACCTATGGACGTGACGGATACGAAAAGCATTCAGGAAGCAGTTGGAAATGTCAAGGACTGGCTTTCTGGGAGGGGACTGGATGTTTTGATTAACAATGCGGGCGTGATGCCGGTTACGAAGGGTGGATTGGAAGCGATGTATTTATTCTTTAATCGAGTCTACGATTCTTTCGGACATGTACTGATAATGTAGGGACAACCTGAATGATACGTTCAATACGAATGTTACCGGTGCCCATCAAGTAACCAAAGAGTTCCTCCCTCTTTTGCGACAGGGAGAGAGGAAGGTTGTTGCGAACATGTATACACCGCGGCCTATCACCATTCTCGCTGAAGGAATACTGATCATATAGATCAACGACTCTGAGCTCCATGAGCAAGTCGTCAACTTTTGCATCCATGTCCGTCCCGGCATACAAAATCACCAAAGCAGCATTGAACATGCTGACGGTGCAATACGCCCACGCCCACGCTAAAGAAGGTTTCACCTTCCTATCCCTAAGTCCGGGTGTACGATTCCTTCTGTTCTCTGTTTTAAAATATACAAGTATCTGACTACGAAGTGGCTCCAAACGGACCTGGGCGGTTCTCGCGCGGACCTGCCTCCAGAAACCGGCGCAGAAGCGGTTGTCGATATGGTACGGAATGCGACGACAGAGCAGAATGGGAAGTTTCTGAATATCCATGTTCCTGGCTGGGAGGCGAATCCAGGGTTTAATCAGTATGATGGGAAGGAGGTGCCGTGGTAGTTGTTCTGATGTAAATTAGGGCCCCGGGCGTTCATTTTCTCTTCTCTTCGTCTCTTCTTCTAATCTGCCTTCACCATAATATTATATCATTACGCTGCCTCTCGTCCCTTCACGTTCTTCCTATCACTATGAGCAACAGTAGGACCTCCTTGAATGAGAGTCACATGTTCACCTCTATTCTTCCTCTCACTTTCCAGCCATTCACTCCCACTGTATAGCACAGAGCGTTATCAGAGTATTGCCAGCATTCCTCAATCCAATAATCTGATTAAGACTACTATGTGGTCAAGAAGTTATTATTTCTGATTGGATATTATTAATGAAATGTTTTGTAGGTGTAGGTACTGAGAAAAAGAAAATGGTATGAACGGGAGTAGTAGACAACAATGAAGAACTGCTAACGCTGTGTATCGTAAAAACTAATGATCAGTGATGGTCAAATTTGGCGACTTACGTGTGGCTAACCTCGAATTGAGAAGAGTGTATGGCAGTGAGATGCGAGAATGAAACATACAAACCAGAAATGCCCGACAGAAAGATGCTGTAATGCAGTGCACTTCGCACATGCAAGGAATCCCCCGCCGGAGAGCTCCAGATGCGCTCGACCGCACAAGGAGAAGAAGAGCATATTTTCATTACAGTCCTTCGTTTGTTTCTCTTACAATGTATCAATCATACATGAGCAAGCTAGTCCTCCATAAATGTGATACTTTCGACCCGATGTGTAAAACCATCGAATACGAAAAAAGGAGTTCCTGGTGAGTATCCTTTTATATATTCTTTCTCTCTTTGCAATTGTCCTTAATTCTGCTTGGCTTACTCAACTAGTGGAACAAGTAAGATGATCGTTCCAGGTATCATGATGGCTATCTTGAATGAAAGAAGATTGGGATAAGGAACGAAGGTTGACCTTCATAAGCCATAAAAGTCTTCGGCCCCGTCGTTCCGATGTACGATTGAGTACTACATCTCTCATACCTTCTTAATCCAGGCCAAACCGCTAATACTACATAGTCTACGGCAAATTCAAACACAGCCCCAAATCCGTCCGACTCTTCAAGCTCGAAGCTGGGCAGAGGCGACCTTAAAAACATCCTACACAAACACCAGGTCCTGGTTGAAAAGGGATGGTCTGCATACAAGATATTCTTTACAGACATTACACCCAAGCAACCTTTATCACAACATACTCACGAGAACAAAGCTCACGTTAACCGGCGGTCTTTCTATTTTGTTTAGGGCACTAACACCGCCTTCTATTTGTTCTTCCTCCTCCTCTTCTCCTTACCTCGAGGCAATCCTTTGTCAATCGTTTACGTTCTATTGTTGTATCGGCTTGGTGTTCCTTTGTTTACCTTTCGATCTTAGTTGACCTACTATATCTCGTCTCTTTCGTCGATCATCCGTGTTGTTGGTTGAGTTCCTTGGGCTCCTAACTTCGTGGACAAGGTTCGAGTTATCGTTCAAATTCTCTCTAACGCATGTTAGCCGGTGACTAGAGTCTCACACTTACCTCCACCCTCCTATCACCCGATCTGGTCACCATGTCTGGACTGAACGCATCGTTTGAACGCGGGGATGTATGTTTTATATTCGACGTGGTTTGGTCAATCCTTGGTGAAAGCATTATGGAAAGAATAAAGGGGAAGTGGCTTGAGAGGGTCAAGGGGAGCAACGCGGATGTTGAGACAGATCTTGCTAGCCGTGAGAATATTTGAGATGTAAGCGAGATGTGGAACAAGCGCGACGAGGGTACGACCACATAGTCTACATCGACCATCCGCCACTAACTAAAATTAATCCAGACGACAATAAGCACGAGGTTGCTGCTTTAGTTTATCCAGAGAGAGTATATACCGTGCTCAAGCCGGGGATCGAGTGTGGACACCTTTGGCCTATCCTTTGATTGAATTTCGAGATGAGATAATATCAATGCTACATGTGAATCGGAGTTGATGCAGTCCGGGGTATCCCCAAAGGCCGGATCTACGTTGCCCAAACCGATGGGTTCTACGTCGCCGAAGCCCCTGGGTGTTGTTCCTAGTTAGTGTGGACGTAAGGCTCTGGACGTCTTCTATCTTCTCTTCTCTTCGTGTCTTATTCCATTATTATTTCACCATCACCATTTTTAAATCAAATTTTTCGTCCTTCTTTCACTGCTTCCTGTCACTTTGAGCATCAGTAGGGCCTTACTGATCACACTCTCAATCTCCAGTCATTTATTCCCACTGAACAGCGCAGAGCGTTATTGCAATATCTGTAGAAATAAGAACATTGCCGGCCTTCTTTGATTTACGTATACAATAACTAATGATCGTCATGATTGTTGTGAGGACGGTGGAGAGTACTACGTAGAGAAGGTAACTCTAGATGCCTTCCCCATCAGGCTAGATTACCATATCGAGTCTAGTTCGTATTTAGAGGGATGTCTGAGGATTCGACGACCGACGATGCTGGACTATTTACGGGGTGCTGTGGTCCTTAATGTCGCCATTGAGTTGCATCTTGAGAATTTCCGGCGTGATGGTGTTTTCCTCGAGGCCGTTGCAGGCCAGGCGAGTTTTACTCATGGATCAATGCGGCCATTTTAACGCGACCAAGTATTTGGTACACTGTGTTGCCTGGAATACCGCTTCAGTCACTCAGCAGGCATCTGCAATACTTCCTCTTTTGGAATCCGATCTCGTCGAATGTGGTCTGCTGCCTATTACAATTATATACATCCTCGACATTGGTTTTTGAAGAAGTCTTCGTATCATCTCACAACGCTCCAAAAATGTCTGGAATAGTTTCTAGCAAAAGCTGGCAGATTGCGAGACGGGTCCTTCATGTTCTCTTGGGAGCACGTGGATCCTGTATCATACTCGACCTTCCGACTGAGCTCCTTCTGGAGATATTCTCCTATCTTCCATTACCAAGTCAGGCATGTTTGGCCCTCAGTTCGAAGAGACTCCATCATATATTCGGTGCCGTGCTTGGAACAGAGAAATTGCGTTTCCCTGGAATGCCTCGCAATGGATGTGCAACATACGTTGTCACTGAGAAGTATAATCTGCGAATGACCCTCCTAACCCAGCTGGAAAACAAGCGTTGGGCATGCTGTGGTCGGTGTCAAAGACTGCACCCACGCAGAGAGTTTCCAGTGCAACAACTAAATGAGTCCCCATGGAAAAGGACCTGCATGGTGTGGGCTGGTATAGTTGACCTGTGTCCTTGCATTTCCTTAACATGTCGTGATAGAACACGCATTGTGGAGTACCTCAAAGCCCCAGAAAGCAATAAGCCAAGTCTGAACTCAATCAACAAGGGGGTGCTGTTGAAGCAACCTGGCGAACAATACCTCTTACATCAATGTACAGCTTATCAAAATGTTCAAATCGAGATGCGAGTTTCCCTGACAGACAGCGAGCAATTAACTACCTATACTCGGTACCAACCACCAGACTATAGTCGTCCATGTGAGTACCTGAACCACACGATGCCTATATGCTGCTCTCGGAAGTGGATGAACGTCTGGGCTGCTCGGTACAGGGCTGGCTGGAGCTGTGACAGATGCCATGCGCACGTAACGAATTTCTCAACTTCACCCGTGATAACAGTGGACGTTGTCCGATACTTGGGCCGAGAGAGATGGTTTGCCAAATCCACAGCCGGCCATGTTGAACGACAGTGGTATAACCAGTGTCGAAGTTTGGGCGACTACATTCCTGCCTGACTGTTGCTAGTTATAATTATCTAATGGATAGGTACTGCTCCGTGTGTCCTGTAATTGTCAATGACGTACTCTGTAGTTGGGTCCTTCCTGCCCTCAGTGAGTGCCCTAACCAGCACCTTCCCGTCATTCACTCTCCTTCCTATCTATGACACTTACTACACCGCCCTCGAACACTTCTCCTTAGTCCTGCTCCTCCTTTTGCCTCTTCTCTTCTTCTTTTCTTCTCTTCTTCTCTCGCTTTGCGCCATCAGACGACATTCATTTATTCCATACCGTTATATGTGAGTTGCAACGACCTGGAAGAGCAAAGTAAAAGCTAACACATGCCAGATACAGCTCTCTTTTCCCCAACCCGCCCACAGAATACCTCGCTTCCCCTCGTCCCTTAACCATCTCCTGCTGGTGTTGGTCGTCGCCTCCATTCATCGTCCTCTAGGGCTTTGGCTCTGGTACGTAAAGTCCCGGTCCCTCTATCGTCTGTTGAATACTAACGCAGTCTTCTTAATGACCTGTGGTCCGCTATTCCTCCGCTTTTGTCACTTCCCTTGACCCCTGAACCTCCTTGCCACGCATCTTCGCACGCTAAAGGTCATTTTGGCCTGAGTGTGTCCCTCTGCAGCGCCAGAAGAAGATCTGCACTTCCAGCTCAAGACTGCTCCGTCGATCAGTTCCGGAACATCCTCTGCCGCCTAGGCCTTCAAGCTCCTCATCAAGTACTGTCATGAGACCAAGGCCGAGAAGGAGTGTCGAGCAACGAGGGAGCCAGCGAGAAGCTTTACAATTTCAAGTACGGTCTCGCAAGAAGACATCTCTTGTTCATCGTTGACGACCGTTGAGTTGGTCCTGCACGCATCTCGCGGCCTATCACCCTCAACTCCTCAACCTTCTCCCTTCCCACTCGCATGCTGTCTTCATTTATCAAGGCCGTTCACAACATTCCGTCTGCGGGGTTGGACGACCCATTTTCACATGGTGATCCTTTTTTTTTTTTTTTCGTTAATTTCGTCTAAAGCATCGTCGGTCCTGAGATAGTTGGCAGTGTGAAGAACAAGCTCCGTGAAAAGGCCGGTGTTGATGCTGAGAAGGGGTTTATCGACAGAGATACCTTAAAAGAGGTGTTGATGAATTTGTCTTCCACAACCCGGAGTACGCGCGTTTATTCCAGCCGAGACCAGGGGTCGACGCCCGGCCCGACTTACTGGTCAGGGGGGGCTCCAAGGACAGCTTCTGAGCCTACCAGCGGTCCAGTGAACACGACGCCTTCTGAGCCGTTGACTAGCATAGTGGATCCCACTACTGCTTCAAAGCCAGCCACTGGCGTGTTGAGTCCTACCGCTACTACAACATCAGCTGTGCCAGATCCTATGACTACAAAGCCAGCCACTATCGCCCACCCAAAGCGACTATGGCGCGAAGCCCGACGTTAGAAATCCGTCGAGGCAATCTGAATGCAGTAATCAAGGGATAGGGGCAGAGGTTGATAGTACCAAGGAGCAGGAACCGCGTGGAGAGGACGCTGATGAGGTGTGTTAAAGAGTACACCCAACACGAAAGGGAACCTACTGATGGAACACAGTCAACGGCTTTACTACTAGCCCAGCAACAGGAACATAACGTGTTGACTACGAAGACCAAGTCCGGCCCCCCAGCACCCAGCACTGTCAGAGAGTCTGTTCACTCCAATAAAAATACAAAAGGACAACCGAATCCTTCATTGAGGGTATCAAACCTGGTTTATCTATATGCACAACACGTCCGGTCCTGAAATTGCGCCGACATGCCAACCACGACTAATCTGCAGCATGCAAAGCAAAAAAGAAATAAAATAAAAATGCAAAAAAAAAAATGGACTCGCGGGGAATCGAACCCCGGACCACCCCCATGCTAAGGGGGTATTATACCACTAAACCACAAGCCCATTTGATGTGGATCGGCTTCCCGAAATTCACTCATGGTCGGCACAGTTCGGCTCCGTCCTTCCGCCCTCACTGCTTGGACACATCGGCGACAAATTCCATCAAGCCGGGCTGTTGAGGCACTGTCGGATCGGCTTTCCAAGTCTGCGAGTGCGTGCTGGTTCCGTCTGCTGCACGGACATGCGACACATCGAGAGTCATCTCGCCCCGTGCCAAGGTCACCTTCATCTTCTTTTTCTGTTCCCCGAAGGTAGGCGACACGGTCAGCAATTCTCCGTGATGCGGATACGCAGCTTGCCACGTTAGATGCCCATCTACCCCGGGTTGAGGACGGTAGGATGAGATGGCTGACACGACATCCAGCATCAGGAAATGGGTGATTATGGCCGCTGCTTCGTCCCGTAGACCCACGCGGGCGGGTGGTTGAATACCAGGGTGCTGCGGCATGGTCATGGAGATATCGTAGTTAGTCCCAAACGGCGGGGATACAAGACTGGTGCGGATTCTAACGCGGAAGGGACTCTGGGGCGTGATAAGGGAACCTGAAACGGTGGATTCCAATGGCACGAGGAATCCCTGGACCAGAGCCTCGACCCTGGGGAGACTGTGGTTCTTGCGCTGGGGGTTCACGGACGAAAACAGGTTGGCAGAATGATCACAGTCGACTCCAGCTGACTTTAGAACTCCGTACATGTCCTTAATGAACGATTCCAGCCATTGTACATGTGAGCGGTGTTGGAGGTAGGCAAGAATCGGCCGTAGGAGTTGGTATTCAGGTGTATGTCGGCGCTTCTGAGACAACGGCGGCGGGGGCTGAGTGCGTCGGTGCAGGTTCTGGCGATGAGCGTAGGAAAGGAGGATGCGGGTCGAGTGGGCGATGGTATCAGCAAGTACATCGTCTTCGTGGGAGTCAATCACGTCCGTATCTTCCGAGAATGATTCCAAGTCGGTATCTGCCAAGTCCAGCATGATCTCTTGTTCTTCGGACACCGCAAACCGGATCAAATTCTGTCGTGTGGTAACCCCTTGGCCGCCCATTATCCGTGCCTCGCGTACAAGCTCGTGGAATAACTCTTCCTCATACACAGTGTCACGCGCTTGCAATATGCGGGTTTCGATCGATTCCTCGCCGTCCGCAGTGGATCTGGTCGACTTCGAGCACCCGGTAATCCGATCGTTGACTTTCACTCGTACGCGTATTCTTCGCGATTTCGATGGGACTAAGCCCTTATCCAGTATCAAGCTCCCATCATCGGCTCGTCGTAGAGATGCCAGGCCGCGATCACGGAAAATCGGCGTAGCTAGACAAGTCAGCACGACACTTCTATTTGACCGATTAGAGACCTACCCTCAAGGAATCCGTATTGCACGCCTAAAGCTTGTCTTTCTCTTGGCAACCTGGACACCTTCCAACCCTTGTCCTTCACGGCCAACACCTCACTCCAGTACCGGGTCTCGGATGCAACCTCCGTCTCCAACCGGGAAGCAGACTTGAGTAGCTTGTTGGCAGCTGCATCAAAGCTCTGCAATCTCCATCCGCGAGAGACCGCCTTGGGGTCTTGTGCTGCCGATTCGGGCTTCGGGGGAGGGTTGACAATCTCGGAGTTCAACGATCCAAGAGGCACGGCTTGCTTGAGGAAAGCCGACATGGAGGTTTCGGCTTGACGGGGGGCGTGTTTCGAGAGGAGAAGGGAGACGAAATCGAGGGCGAACATGGTTTCCATTTGTGCTTGACTGCTGGATGTCAGTTCCATCCACCACAAGAACCGTATGTGAGAACGTACAGGGCGAATTGGGTGATCTCCGCACGACGCTTGTACAGTTGTTCCAATCGTTCTGTCGAATCGACCTCGCCGGCTGATTTCTCTCCCTCATCTTCATCTTCTATGCCCTCCTTGTCCTTCTCCTCCTGGATCTTGGCCTGTAGTTCGTCTTCGTTCACATCGCGGAAGGATCCCCACTGGGCGTTGATTTGGGCGATCTCGACGGGAAGCGTGTCTGGACGGTCGCGCTTTTCGATGAGCGGTCGGAGGGGGAGCGTGAAGGAGTCTGCCGTGGCGGAAGAGTCGCCGGGGGCGTCGGACGACATGATGGAGATTCTTATCGGAGGTGGTTGTGTTAGAGTTGACATGGAGAGCTGTCGAGCTGGACGCGGTGACGCAGTAGCACGTGACTTCAGGACGTGAATGTCTACATCGAGAATTCTCAATATTGATGATGTTCTGCTTGATGCTAATATGTGTATGCTAAATTGACCTAGTATAATTGTATCATTATCGTTGTGCAGTCTAGCTTGGATGTTTAGCACCATGTTCGGGATATATATATATATCTGCTGAGTGCCTCGACAGTACCACTACAGACAAATGCAAATGCAAATGCAAGCATTGATACTCGCTACCAGCCGCAAGTACTCGGTTTAGTACCCCGTAAGCCCCATTGGCCTACTCTGTGCAATGCTATCTGGAGAAATCCAACACAACCGATTGATACCGAACTCGTTCCGCGCACTTTCCCAGACTCGGGGTGCCGATCAAGCACGGGGATATATACAGCGGCGGAAACAGCGCAATCAGGAGCCGTATTGATTCCAAAAATCTCTCATACCCTGCGAGTAGTATCCATATGATTGAACACGTTCTACTACTCCGTACCCCGTACTCCGTATAGACAGCCCGGCCCGAGTGCGGGATATACGGAGCAGTGATATCCGATGCAATTGAGCGATACCATTGGCCTTTGATTTGTTATAGAACGGTGACATTAACCAATGAGGACAGAGACAATACAACGGCTGTCTGTTTTGCATGGTGTCTGCAGATGTACCTGCTTAGCGGTGTTCGTCCAGAGTACCCCCTACAGCACGCGGTACTCCCACAACATGCGAATCCTGCTAAGTATTGGTGATGTAAAAGTAACTGACCGGTTCTGGCATATCTAAACAGGCTGTCTGGCGCCACTGACAGCAACACGTGATGACAAAGCCCTGCCCTACCCATTCCTCACGTGACCACTACCCGGCGCTAGGCCAAAACAGGAAAAGTGACGTTAAGACAACGTCGGTGACGTAAGGTGGGTTTTGCCCAAAACTCCCGCTTTTTCTCACCGGAAAAGTCCCCCACCTCAGTCTCTCTATCTCAGTTCTCTATCTGTGTCTGTTGCTGACACCCAATTCCTCATCCTTTTTGTATACTATCAGCGCAGAAGTATAGCAAGTACAGGATGCCCCCTACTCAAGCAGAACCCCCCAAGAGACGCCGCATTGGTGTGCTCACCTCCGGAGGTGATGCCCCCGGTATGAACGGCGCCGTGCGCGCTGTCGTCCGGATGGCCCTCTACTCCGATTGCGAGGCCTATACTATCCTGGAAGGCTATGAGGGTCTGGTCAGTGGCGGCGACATGATCCGCCAGGTGCAGTGGGAGGATGTCCGTGGCTGGCTTTCGTGTGGTGGTACACTCATTGGCTCGGCCCGGAGCATGTCGTTCCGGGAGAGACCTGGTCGGATGCAGGCAGCAAAGAACATGGTCCTCCGGGGTATCGATGCCCTGATCGTCTGCGGTGGTGATGGCAGTTTGACCGGTGCTGATGTCTTCCGCGGCGAATGGCCCGCTTTGCTGGACGAGTTGATCCAGAAGGGCGAATTGACCAAGGAGCAGGTCGAGCCCTACCGTGTGTTGAACATTGTCGGATTGGTCGGCTCCATTGACAACGACATGTCGGGGACAGATGCCACCATTGGTTGCTACTCGTCTTTGACCCGGATTTGTGACGCTGTGGACGATGTCTTCGACACGGCATTTTCGCACCAGAGAGGCTTCGTCATTGAAGTCATGGGGAGACATTGCGGTTGGTTGGCGCTGATGTCCGCCATCAGTACTGGTGCAGACTGGCTGTTCATCCCTGAGAACCCCCCTCGCGACGGCTGGGAGGATGACATGTGCGCAAACATTGTCAAGGTTGGTCCCTCGCACCCTCTTAGTGTATGCATTCGCTAACTGGTGGTTACGAATAGAACCGGAAAGAGCGTGGAAAGCGTCGGACAATTGTCATCGTCGCCGAAGGTGCCCAGGACCGTCATCTGAACAAAATCTCCAGCAATACAATCAAGGACATGCTCACCAAGCGTCTTGGCCTCGACACCAGAACGACCATCCTCGGACACACCCAAAGAGGAGGAGCAGCATGTGCGTACGACCGGTGGCTCTCGACTTTGCAGGGCGTGGAAGCCGTTCGCGCTGTTTTGGACATGAAGCCCGACTCGCCTTCGCCCGTAATCACCATCCGCGAGAACAAGATCATGCGCACGCCGTTGATGGAGGCCGTCAAGGCGACCAAGGAAGTCACTTCTCATATCCACAACAAGGACTTTGATGGCGCCATGGCCCTCCGTGATGCCGAATTCAAGGAGTACCATTTCTCTTACCGCAACACGGCCACTCCTGACCACCCCAAGATGATCCTCCCAGAGAACAAGGTGCGTTTTCTTCTACGTTGATGGCGTTACTGGTACTAACAAATAACAGAGAATGCGCATTGGTTTCATCCATGTCGGTGCCCCCGCTGGTGGTATGAACCAGGCTACTCGTGCGGCCGTCGCCTACTGCCAGACCCGCGGTCACATTCCCCTCGCCATTCACAACGGTTTCCCCGGTCTCTGCCGGCACCACACGGACGCGCCTGTTAGCTCCGTTCGCGAGATTGACTGGCTCGAGTCGGACAACTGGGTCAACCAGGGAGGTTCGGAGATTGGCACAAACCGTAGCTTGCCCTCGGAAGATTACGAGGGAACCGCCAGGTGCTTCGAGGAGCACAAGTTCGACGCCTTGTTTTTGGTTGGTGGTTTCGAGGCCTTCACCGCTGTCAGCCAGCTGCGCCAAGCTCGCGAAAAATACCCTGCCTTCAAGATCCCCATGGTCGTCCTGCCGGCCACTGTCTCCAACAACGTCCCGGGAACCGAATACTCTCTGGGCAGCGACACTTGCTTGAACACCCTGATCGACTTCTGCGATGCTATCCGCCAGTCCGCCTCGTCCAGCCGTCGCCGTGTCTTCGTCGTCGAGACCCAGGGTGGTCAATCCGGTTACATCGCCACGACCGCCGGTCTCTCGGTGGGCGCCACCGCCGTCTACATCCCCGAAGAGGGCGTCAACATCAAGAGACTGTCCAAGGACATCGACTTCCTGCGCGACAGCTTTGCCAAGGACTACGGTACCAACCGCGCCGGAAAGCTCATCCTCCGCAACGAGACCGCCTCGTCCACATACTCCACCCAGGTCATCGCTGACATCATCAAGGAGGAAGCCTGCGGCCGCTTCGAATCCCGTGCCGCCGTCCCCGGTCACTTCCAGCAGGGTGGCAAGCCCTCGCCCATGGACCGTATCCGTGCCTTGCGAATGGCCATCAAGTGTATGCTGCACTTGGAGAGCTACGCCGGCAAGTCGCCCGACGAGATCGCTGCCGATGAGCTGTCGTCGACAGTCATTGGTGTCAAGGGCTCGCAAGTCCTGTTCTCGCCCATGGGCGGTGAGGACGGTCTCGAGGCAACAGAGACCGACTGGAAGCGCCGTCGTCCCAAGACGGAGTTCTGGTTGGAGTTGCAGGACACTGTTAACATTCTGTCTGGACGGACGAGCTTTGTTGGCGAGTCTGAGGAGACGCTGTCGTATTACAGTTAGTACCCTTCCCCTCTTTACCGTCCAATGTCTTGATCTCGTTCACCATGCTAACTGTCCACAGACGGCGCCCCTTCGGTTCCAGGCTCTCCTTAAATAAAAAAACCACCACCGCATAGCCTGGAGCGATGTTTACTAGCGAGGTATCTGGAGGATGCTGATTTATGTTTTATATGATGCTATGGCCGTTTGGATTTTGAATCGCATGTACTCTCTTACGACAGCGCCGTGTTAGAAAAATACATGGCGGAAAAAGAATAACGATGTTGATCATCTGTATTACCTGGTGTTATATAAGTCAATAACGTAGATGCACTCGTAAACGCTAGACAATGTGACACGCAACTAGCCATCTATAAACGCATCCGGAATGGGAAGCGCCTTCTCATGCTCCTCCAATTCATCCAAAAGCGCCACTGTCTCCGCAGGACTAGCAATCCAAGCGGTCGTCGATGCAAGACGGGCCTTGATTTATCTATTAGCCCCTGAAATATCTCGAGCAGGTAAAAGAGAATGACGAACCTTGAAATCATTCGCACCGGCCGATAGGAACTGATCTCCTATATGGAACGTCTTGGTCCGGTCGATCCCTCCGAAGTACTGCTGGCATGCGCGCACACCCCAGGATTTATCACCGATATCGACAAAAACGTCGTTTCCACCGTTGAAAGCACAGAATGGCAATCGCGACCCCACTGCGGAGCGCTCGACGGTATTCTGCACAACGAGGACTGTTTCCTCTAGTTGCTCGCGATTAATTAGTGTTCCTCGGTCAGAAAACACTCCGACCGCGCGATCTTTGCGGAGGACTGCAACTGGCATGCTGAGGTTTGTCGCGCAGGCGCGCAGAGAGGACTCCGCGATATCTAGTAGTTCAGTGATATCTTCTTGATTCCAGTACTTCATCTCCTCGAGGAGCCATTCCTCCCTTGGCACCCACACCAACCGAACCGGATCATGGGCATCATAGCGGAACAGAAAGTTACTTTCACCACCCATAACGACAAGCCCGCTCTTCTGCTCCGCGCTCAAGACAGTAGACTCATGCACAGCATCAAGCAACCCCTTCAACCGCTCGTAGTACCGAGGCGCATCAGTGTACCCAGCCGCAGTAACAATACCGATCTTCCGATCCTGCGCCAGAAGACGGATAAGCCGAGGAATCACCGGGTTATCTTCCGTAAGACACGCCCCGTCGTCGTAGAGCGTAACATCACCATCAAACGTGACAAGGTCCGGACCATTGGACCGGAGGAGGCCCAGGAGTTGGGCGGTGTTGAGAATCAACCGGATGTCGTTGAACGAGGGCGCGACGAATCGGCGCCGGCTGATGAAGCGGTGATCATCCTGGTACCGGAATGCATCTTCGAGTGGGAGCTTGGTGAAGAAGGTCCCGACCGTGGGGACGAGGAGGTTTAGTTTGGATCTACCGGGGGCGTTGGTCCATTCGTGATCGACTGGTGTACTAGTCAGTTGGAGTTAACGTGGGGGAGAGGGGGATGGAGTATGTAGTATGTACTATGGTCTAAAATGAGGTTCTCCACATCGCGCATGATCTCCCGGTATCGCTGATGGGTATCTGCTGCCACGGCGCGCAGCTTCTTGCTGCTTTCATCGTAGACGGCCGTGGGATGCGAGTGCAGTACAAAGGGGACTGCGAGAAGACCCTGTCGGGCATTAGATATGTTTACTTGGGCGGAGGTGCATGTAGCATACTTTTATCCATTCGATCTGGCTTCATTAGCATCTATATTTCTGTATTGAAGAGGAAGTCATACCAACTGGTCCCGTCGGTGAGACTGAGACAATACATTCCTGTCAGCGCTGATGTCTCCGAGTCGCATAGAGCAGCATATCAATCAAGAGTTACCTTCAGGGCATCTGGCGGTCATCAGCAACGTGTCCACAATTCAACATACAGAATACTTACATTCAACGCGATATCGAGTAGTCATAATGGAATTAACAGTGAAAAGAAGATGGAAGATAGGAGTAGAAGGGAAAGAATGCAGGAGATAAATAGAAGTTGTGATATGGACGCGGGGGACGCCATGCCAAGATAGGAAACCGGCCTCAGCTGGACAACTGTACATACTACATAGTATGACACTGCACTATTTTGTGCTACTGAAACGATTAAAATAGATGTTCAACCTCGCTGCTTATTGCTCCGTGGTATCTCATTATCAACATCATGTCTATCATATCAAGTTTCCCCCGTATGTACCCAGAGTAGCCAGCTACACTCTGCCCGTGTTGTCCCTGTTCTCAACATGAGTCGACTCCTCCATGATATCTGCCTTCTCCGAATGCACTAGATCTCTCTGCTCGGCATCCCGGTTACCATACAATCCAATCTTATACCACGGAAGTTCAAACAGCCGGTCCATGCTTTCCAGACTTCGCCCCGCCGTTTCGGGCACGGTAAACAGGACCCATATCCCACCTACGATCGTCACAGCCGCGAAGAACCAGAAGGTTCCCAGGGGTGTAATGCCGTGGGGTGTCGGAAGCAGCATGTTGGGCACGGCCCGCGAGTTGCCGTACTGGTTCACAAAATGCAAGGTCATGGCCATTGAAGTCGCCAACGCACGAATTCGCAGCGGGAAAAGCTCGGCTGTCAGCAAATACTATATAGATTGTTTATGAGCATCTAGTTTGTCTTCCAAGCAATAGAAATGACCTGCCTGCATTGAGTTCCACCCAAGCGCCCAGCCAACTCCAGAGATGTAAATCATTGCAATGGCTCCGCGACTGGCGCCGGCTTTGGCCTCCGGAGGCTCATAGCCGTCCACCACACCCATCTTGGGTTCGGTCGATAAGAAGGCGGCGATGTACACCATGGAGATAGCCTGAAAGGTAATTCCAAGGAGCAATGATCGCTTCCGACCAATCATGTCCACCAGGAACAAGGCGCAGATGACCGCTGCCACTAGCTTGATGATACCGAAAACGGCCGTCACCAGCAAAGATTCGTTCGAGCCGGTGATACCGAGGATCTCAAAGAAGTCGGGCGCATACAGCGTGATAGATCCTGCACCGGACCACTGGGATAGGAGTTGGGCCATGCAGGCGAGGTACAGCCGGTAGAGGTTTTTTGGGAGCATAAAGGTCTCTTTGATGACACCAAGCCAACCAGCACCCATGGTCGCTTCCATCTCAGCATAATGAGCGTTCTGAATCCCAGCCATCTCTTCTTGAATGTATGGGTGGTCGTCAGGGAGCTTGCGCAGTCGGCAAAGGCTCTTCAACGCCTGCTCTTCTTTACCGTTTTTGACCAAGTATCGGGGAGATTCATGTTGGAAGAGCGTGAGAACGAAGATGAGACCCGCGAAGATGATATGCAGACTCGTTGGAACCAGCCATCGGTTGTGGGTGTTGTCTCCCATGTGAAGCTCACAGCCGTAGTTGGCAAAGTATGCCAGGACGATGCCCAAGTACACAAATCCCGTGAATATACAGGTACACAATCCTCGAACCGAGGCCGGAGAGATCTCTGCCAGATACACAGGACCGACGACGACTGTTTGTCCAACTCCTAATCCCGCAACAAATCTTCCAGCGTACACAGCTCCCAACTTGCCGCTGTTTCCCATGAAGATGGCGATACCGAGAATCCATAGCAAGCAGAGCTGACGAGTTGCCCAGATACGGCCGATTCGATCGCATACCACGAAAGCACTGCCGGAGGAAGCGGAAGGTCAGCATCTAATTCACCGAGAGGGACTGAATGAACATTGGGTGGGGGAAGGGAACGCATACAAAAGAGCCCCTCCAACAGAGCCAATCTGGACCATCGCCGACACGTTGGCCTTGATGTTGGTCTGCTCGACCGTGCTATACGAGTCATAATTGATGTAGCGTTGGAAATCCGCCGAGTCGAAAGCCCCTGAGATCAATCCCTCATCGACACCACGGGCGGCACCCATGAGGGCAAAGGAAACAACTGCGAACCATAGTTTCCAGTTGAACACCTCCTTTGGATCGCCAAGGTTCCCTAGCCGGAAGATATTGACGGGTTTCTTAGGTCCTCCTGCCATATTGTCGGTCCTTAACTCAGGTTACGCAGTAGAACCAACGTAAGACAACAAGGAGTAATAAAGAAAAGAGAAGAGAAGATGGCTCTGATGGTCAGAATGGCGGCGGTAATCATCCTACATTATATCTGTATCCTGTCGCGGCCGGTGTCCGTATCCCATCTCTATCACTCCATTGAGAATGAGGGGGATAGGACTGTGTACGAGCGGAGTGAGCCCGAAACGTGCTGTTGTACCGAAGAATCTCCTGTATCCACATTCCACAGGGTCTTGGGTGCGTGAAAATGTGCATGCTCTGATAGGATCCTCGATCCCTCCACTGTCATACATAGTACTTCCATACTTGGCGAGAGTGGGTGTCGCCGAGAAACGCCAGTTCGCTTGGCTTTGGACCTACCTCCCCCAGATTCCATGGCATACAGCAGGCCTATATATACTATTCTCGTAATGAGGACGTCTTCGAGAGCAAGATGGGAACTGGTCGGACATCGTACACGGTAAGTCTTCCCCGGATTACCGTATTCGAGCATCCGGTGCTCCATCAGCATACCCCCGCTACTATTGCGGGGGACCCACGTCTGTGTTCATATGCCCGGTAAGTGACAAAATGTGAGCTATGATTGCACCCCAGAATTTCGATTACCACATCTCTTTGGATCCGTTGCGGAGAAAAGGATCAAAGGAAAGAATGAATGGTCCATTTGGCGAGGGAACTCGGCCAACCTCCGAACGGCCAACAGATCTGGGGTCCGGGGAAATAAAATGCGCCGCTTGGACCCTGTTGCTTAAATTCAGCATCTTGCATGATGTCTGTGCGTTGGAAACTATAAGCAGTGCTTGTCTGTATTTGCGGCTCACTCCGTCTACCACGTTCCAAGGCTGAAATCCTTGACGGACAACCACGAATCAAATCGTTCCCGGTTTAAGTTTTTGGGAATATGTGAGCCGCGAGGTCCGTGTGGCTGTCGTCTGACGGGATATGTTCAATAAGGCTATTCTGTCCGACTTGCTAAGGACCGATGTCGCTGTGGTCAGCAAAGCGGTCCATACGCAACCAAAAGCAAAGACGCGGGAAAACATGCTCACATTACTCGTAGTTTGACCGGATCATCGCTGAATACACACTGCTGATTGATCAGCTTTTTTCTCCGACAGTCGGACGTCACAAGCTTGCAGAAGCTGTCAGAGACTCGCGCAATACTCCGTACACGCAGTCTTGGATGGACGAAGGTTGAGCTATAATCCAGAAAAAGACGGGCCCAAACCGATTTGTTGAGGAGTAAAGGAGAAGCGGAAGGTGAGACGAGAGAGGGAGGCCATTGCATTCTGCCGTCTGCGCACGTCGTGGACGTATAACCATCTATTTGCATGGTGGCATCATGATAGCAGCAAAGACTGAATCGTATGGCCCTCCTACTGCAAATGGATGTTAGTCTTCTAAGCTCAACATTGCTTATGATGCCCGGACCCAAGAATACCCATATTGGGACCATTACGCCAGTTGCCCAGGCTACATACTCACTCGGGACAGTCTCTTCAATGCGGTACCGCTGTCAAAGCCTGGGAAAAAAATAAGATACCCGTAGTTTTGCCATTTCTACGTCAACTCAAGCACAAATGGTGAGACATCACCCTGTTATCGTTTCCCAGTTCGTGCATGATGTACTGTCGATCAAGCATCTCATCATAGATCGTCTTGTGGCGGAGTTGACATAGCGGCTTCATTCCAGCTTCCGTTGCAATAAGAGACAGGAAATCATTTCGAAGGCCGGTTGAGGCAATTGAAGTCATGCCAGATACCAATTATTGAACAAAATACGGACTATACGGAGTACAGTGAAAAGCTCCGTCTTGTTTCATAGTGTAGTATCTCGCGGAGCCGTGAGAGGACCGAGGACGGGGTACAGTTCATTATCCCAATTGCGTGGGATGTCCAGACTCTTCGCCGCCTCAATCACTATATGAGAGCACTTTGAGTGATAGCAGACCGGGACTTAGAGAAGGAAAATGGTTCGAGAAAGCTCTTGGGAAAGAGCTCAAGGAGGCCGTTTCCCGCGATATGGGTGCATGTTCGGTAGTTGAAGATTCCATTTGACAGTGGAAACCACTTCACTAGCAACCCATCCATTGATCAGTCGTTATATTCAACAAAACAAGAGAAGACATAGTATAGTGCCCACTGCCATAGTACACTGTACGGTGTATGAAGCTAGCCATGTGGGGCGTCGGAATTACGGAATAAATCACGTGGGATATATCCGACCGCGTCCATTGCGATTGTTTCCACCGCGAATCCATTTACCGGATAATTTCAGGTCCTTGAGAAAGGCCAATAATATGTCTGAAACTCCCAGTCCGGCCCTATCGTCCGCATGGCGAACCGCCAAGGCGTGTCAAGAATGTCGCAAGCGCAAGATCAAATGCAACGGCGTTGAGCCGTGTAAGACCTGTCAGCTGCGTAATACACCGTGCATCTACCGCGATATCGTTCGACAACGAAAGAGGAAGCAGAGAGACAGACCATCGGATAATGATGAGACTCCCCCGTCGATTGAGGCCCCACGGCCCGAGTCCAGTGCTCGTCAGCAGTCCCCCGAGCTTCCACACAAACCGTCGGGGAAGTATACATTCTACAATAGCGTGTCAGCCACGCATATGGCGTCGCCTTCCTGCAAGGTCCAACTGTACTATGGACCAACTGCCCATTTTGCTTTGATGCAGCAGGTCTACAGAGACCTGATGTCGAACCAAGCAGCCCAGGCGGAGGAGCCACAAGGGGAGGTCGAAGAAGCCGGGGCCGGGTTGGACCTGTTTAGTTTCCGGCGCATCTTCTTTGGTACCCCCTCCGAAGCTCCGGATCTAAGCAAGAGTTCAAACATGTCAGGAATGTCGACGACCAAGTTTCTGTCGTATGGCTTGGCCAATAATTTTCTACAGCGCTTCTTGTCGACCTTGTTTGCTCTGATACCGGTTCGAACCCAAAGTTTCTTCCAAGAACAACTGGATCAGCTTTATCAACTGTCCATGGGCGCTGAACCAGATGCTTCCTACCATGCATTGGTTTTGCTGGCCCTTGCCATGGGGTCGTTGGGAACGGATCACTATGCATGGGGCGACGTGTTGTTCGAACGCGCCAAAGCGTCATCAGCCGCGCTTGACGAAGTAGTCAATCTTCAGACGGTGCAGATATCGCTGTTCATCATAAGTCCCCCTCAGCTTCTAATGGAACACGACTGTAAACTTTGGTTCTGACATAAGTTCTCTAGCACGCTCATTACCAGATGGAACAGGGCCGTCCTAACTCTGCATTTATTCATTTGGGCATCGGTGCTCGAAAGGCAATCGCGGCTGGTCTGCATAAGGAAATACCAAGTCAAGAAGGAGAGACGTCAGAGAGCATTGAGGAACGTCGGATGACGTTCTGGTACTTTTACTTTTATGAAACGTTGGTTACATCTCTCTAGTATGACAACAATGGCTGCCTTGCTGACACGGATGTAGTTGGATCTGCTTTCATCTGGGTCGACCAAGCTCGTTATCCTTGCGAGATGTCACTGTCACGTATCCAGAAGACCCATTTCTGCTGGTGTTGCTGCATCTGGCCAAGGCGATTTGTCGATCGGCCGACGAAATTTACGGACAACGCCACGAGTCGCTCCTGCAGATGTGGAAAATTGCCAAATCTATATCCAATGATTTACGTGGATACGACTGTCTTATGAGACAGGCCTTGGGATTTGGCCTTGATAGGCCCCCTCAGCATGGAGTCTTGGGGGTTCGTCAAACAGTGTTGGTTACACGTAAGTGGATTCAATTGCATGGATTCGAATCTCTGCTAAGTGCACAGTTTACTACCATACGATTCTTTTGACTTATCGTCCATTTTTGATATTCCGTGGACGTTGGCAACGGGATATGAAAAGGTCGGCTCAGGATCCAGGGTCTAATGCCACGAAGCGTCCGACCGAGATCCCTGCGTGGCTTAATGAAGCCTGCGCCAATGTATTAAATTGCGCCAGCGCAACTATCCACCATTTATGCGGAGCAGCTTCTGTAAATGAATTAGTTAAGGTATGTATCTGTCCCGCAATTGTTTTGCAAGATCCTTACCATTTGATAGGAACTCCGGTATCACGGATTCTTCATCGGAAGTTCTTCCTTTGCCCTCTTCTACAACCTAATGCATGACGAGAGCGTCGCTTCTTCACATCTTCCATGGATAAATGCTGGTATCTGGTATCTTTCCACAGTGCGCCCCGGAGATCCGATTGAAAGCTCCATATCCGCTATGCAGACTATGCTGAAGAAGCTCCACCCATCTTACGAATGGGTCGCACCAGAACGTACAAGGCAGATTCATGGCGCCGAAAATACATCTTCCTTTGCGACACGCCCGTTCTCTAATGATCCTTCTGGCTTTCAGGAGACTCCCATGGGCCTTAACCCACCTGACGAGCAACTACCAGAAGCAGGATTTCCGGTCCTACCAGATTTGCAAACTGATATCCTTCCGGGCGGCATGAAGGTTCCCAGTGTGGGAAGCGGAGAGGATTTGCTTGATCTCACGCAGTCCGACATGGGCTGGGACTTCGACTTTTCGACAATGGACCTTGAAGAAATATTTTCCGTTTACCCGGGAACAGGGCCACCGGTGTTTTGAACATAACAAATTGATTTGACGACACACACAATACCGACTTTTATCCGGGATATCTTGCCGATATTTTCGAAACGGAAAATGACTACTTTTGTCCACGTTCACCGAAGCCTACAATAATAAACACGCTTCAAGGTTAACGCGGAACACGCGGTTTTCCGTCAGACGCACAAACCAGAGGCAGGACTTTTGGATCAGATAAAAATGGCCTCGGAGATGCTGTTATCTGATTATTTCTTCCATTGGCAAATGATTCTTGCGATTGGCTCGCAACAGTTATGACTTTTGCGTTGCCTAAACTCCCGTACCCACCTCGCGGAGCTATTCGGGAACTGGCGCCAATTGACCATTATGATCCTGTTAGAATGATTCAATTAATCCGACGATTCATCAGCAACGCTCAGACAGCGGGTCCCCTCTGGATATCGTTATCAGATGGATGGGTTTCTAGCCACTGTGCAGGGATCCCGGAGTCGATATCGACATAGTGTTGCTGTTTTCCCTTATAATATTGACTCAATCAATGAACACTATGACTTCTCGCTATTTTTCAATTACATTGAACTGTTCTACATTCCCCCGGCACTCTTGAAGTTCTGAGGCCAAGCAATTTTGCCAAGTTCTGCTAAACTTAGCGTCTGTGGAGAATCATCAGCCCTACGGACCCACCGCTTCTTTTCTATTTTCCGGTTGGCCTCACATCCGCCCCCTATTCCGTTTGCCTGGTGAGTCTTTGGGACGTAGTGAAAAGAGTGCGTAGGATGCAATAAAACATAGGCCATTTTTACTGACTGTATAATAGTACGTATGCACGGATCAACGTCTCAACCATGAAGAAATCCCGCAATCAAGGGGAATATTTCGGACATCGAGGCACCTCCCCGCTCGACAGCCCGGTTCATCCAACGAAAAAGCGACCCGAATACTTAGCAGCATATGAGTGGTGGGACGGCGAAGGGACCCATAGCGAGAACTCAGCCCTACTGGGCTGATGTTCGGAGCAAACCCGTTTTCGTCGAGTCCCACTGGCGGCAGAAATATGGCTGCCTTGGCTTATTGTCTAATCTTATCTGATCAAAAAGGCCCTGTATCTGGTTCCTTGAATTTCCCGCACATCGATTGTATGTTCAAGATGACGGCCGACAGACAGGAGAAAGACGTGACCGCCATCGTCGAGAAAAGCGAAGAGACCAGCCATGAAACAGGTGTGATCCCTTGATTCTTATCTCTCCATTCGCCCTCATACTAATATACCTGTCTAAACTACCAGACTCAATACAGGAAGTGCTGCACGCAGCAGGAGTTGCCCTGGACGCTGACGACCCCGATGCACCATGCCTGACCCTTCGAATGTGGATATTGGGAATCATTTTCTGTGTGTTTGGAAGCGGTCTCAATACACTGTATACTTTGCGGAAGCCCTCGATCACTCTATCTCAGTCCGCAATCCAACTGCTAGCCTATCCATTTGGAAAGCTCTGGGAGAAAGTCGTGCCCAACTGGCATTTCCGGTTGTGGAGATGGACAATTCACCTGAACCCGGGACCGTTCAACCAGAAGGTCTGCCCAATGGCCCCTTGAAAAGATGGACTAGTGCTGACGTTAAGGGTATATTCCAGGAGCATATTCTGATCTATATCATGTCGAACCTCAGTCTCATGAGTCGCCTCAGTGCAGACGTCTTGACGGAACAACAAGTATTCTACGGATACAATGCGGGATGGGGCTTTCAGATACTCATTTGCCTGGCTACATTTCTTGTTGGATTCTCCTTGGCTGGAATATTCCGATCGGTCATTGTTGAGCCACCGGACATGGTTTGGCCAGGTATATTGGGTGTTACTGCTCTCAACCAAGTGTTGCATGGCAAAAAGAAAGAGGACATCACGAGTGGGTAAGTACCCGGAAGCCTCACTACCTGTTCTATTTGTTTTGCTAATTTGTCTGTACAGTATGACGTGGAAGATATCGCGATATGGCTTCTTCAGTGTGGCATTTTGCGCGTCCTTTGTCTGGTACTGGTTTCCCGATTTCATCTTCACTGCCCTGAGTTACTTCACTTTCCCATGTTGGATCAAACCAGATGATCGCGTGGTCAACCAAGTCTTCGGGATGACGAGTGGGATGGGTTTGTTGCCATTGACATTTGATTGTGAGTGCGATCGAACTGGTCTCCAATCGCTCCAGCTAATCTTGATGTCTTACAGGGAGTCAAATCGCCTATGTAGGATCTCCACTGCTGGTGCCAAACTGGGCGATCATCAATGTGGCTGTGTCACTGGTTTTCTGGATCTGGATAGTTGCCACTGCGCTATACTACTCCAACGTCTGGTTCAGTGCTTACCTTCCTTTTCAAAGCTCCTCTGGTATATCATTCCGGTTGATCTTCGCGGATAATTAACTAACGGCTGCTAGTCTTCGACAACACAGGCAGCGCCTATAACGTGAGCAAGGTCGTGAACCAAGCATCTGATTACCAAGTCGATGATGCGGCCTACCAAGCCTATTCCCCAGTATGCTTGCTTCCTCGTGGAAACTAAGATTCGTCGCTAACTGTTTACAGTTATATATGCCGATCACATACGCCTTGAACATGTTCGGTCTATCATTCGCAACGCTCTCTGCACTATTAGTTTGGATGTTTTTAGAGAAAGGCGACCTTATCTGGACCGCGACGAGAAGGCTATATGCTGCTATTGCCAGCCTATTCGGCTCTCAAACACGACCCTCGCAAAATACGCCTCAGACCTACCGCGATGTATCACCGCTGTGGTATGTTGCTTCTAGCGCGTTAGCAATTTTCCTTTCTATTTTTGCCGTTGAGTACTGGAAAGTACAGCTCCGGTGGTACGGGGTTCTACTAGCTCTTGCGGTTGCGCTAGTCTTCTACGTACCAGTATGTCATATTCTACAATTTTCTGGTCTCCGAGTTATACTGACACCGATGTAGCTCTCCGTGGTGTACGCCACGTCCAACGCGAAGATCAATATAGATGTTTTCTGTCGGATAGTTGCCGGTTTTGTATTTCCAGGAAAGGTACTGGCCAACATTTGGTTCTTCGATCTTGGATACATTTCTGTCATCAAAGGTCTTTACTTTGCCCAAGACCTGAAATTGGGAGTGTACTGCAATGTAAGTTCCTGATTCAATACACTAAACGAATGCCTCTGATCATATGTATCAGATCCCTGCCCGCAAAGTCTTCTTGGTGCAGTTAGTCGGCATGGTCTGGGGCACACTGAGCTATGTTAGCGTTATCAACTGGGCCCTCAACCACATTCCGGGTGTCTGCACCAACTCTGGCACCAATGGCTTTACCTGTCCATTTTCTCGCACGCACTTTAATACGAGCACGATATGGGGAGCCATCGGACCTCATCGGTTTTTCTCATCTCCAGCAGGCTACAGTGCCCTTCTTTACTTCTTCATATTGGGTGCGGCATTGCCTATTCCGGTATATCTCCTCCGACGCCGCTATCCCAATTCCTTCTGGCGCCACGTCCACATTCCCTTGTTTTTGGGTGGCTTGAACTACATACCACCGGCTTCCGGCACGAATTACGGTAGCTGGGCGATTGTTGGCTTGATTTTCGGGTTCTTGATCAGAAGACGCGCCTGGGCCTGGTGGCATAAGTATAATTTCGTATTGAGCTCGGCACTCGACTGCTCTGTCTCAATAGCCGGAGTGGTTATTTTCTTCGCCATCTTTTACAGTGGTGCATCGTCGCACTTTAACTGGTGGGGAACGCAGGTGCATAAGGTTAGTCTTGACTCTTTTGATCGTAAAATGGTCCGGTCCCATGGATCTTTGCTGACAGATATATTAAAGAACACTTGTGATGCGAAGGGATGCCCGTATTTATCGCTCGGTAAGGGCGAGAACTTTGGATAAGAACCGGGAGGGTTACTTTTGACAGATCGAGACCTCCTTAGTATGGTGCTTGTATTGGCATGCCTTGATATCTAGACTTCAACATCCTTGGAAAATATTGTATAGAAAACAGAAGAATAAAAACCAAGGTCTAGATCCATTGCAGCTTCTCTTTCCATCGTCTTCTATGCAGCGTGTAGTCCTAAAAAGTCCTAAACAGAAATGAGCGCCTCGGCAACAGTCCCGTGACGTGAAAATTTCCCTTTCCGGACACCACTCCTCCCCCTCGTCCCCGGAGACCTTCTTCCGCCCAATCAACTTGTCGCTGAAGAAACTACACTTCACAACTGGGTTCACACAGTTTCTGCGTTCCGGGGATTCGCCACTACCTGCCTTTGCTTTGAGAAAACCTTCCTCCGGCAAGCTCCGGCCAATCGCAAGGGTTACATGCCGGAGGTTGACGATACGACTGTACACTGTACCTTGGGATCAAGGATGCTGGCTGTCGTTGCATATAGAACCCTCGTCCCCTCATGGGTCAGAAGTTTGATTCGTTTGTTCCGGTATGAAACTCCGAAGCAGGCGTTTACTTTACCTGACACGACTAACTTGGAATCGAGTTTCACTAGATAATAATGGCCAGTGATAAGAATGCAAAAGCAACTGACTATATTTTTTTCTCCTATCCCTCTGTCCCGAGGGACTGGCATATTCTCGGATCCCAATCGCTGCGGAGGGAAGTGGTCGAGGCTTGAGTAGACTGCTGGGATTTGACGTTGTACCGTGGGATTGGGTGCCCGGTTAGCCAGACCGACCCATAGAATGCCAAGTGCATGATATGCTGAACCTGGGCCAGTCGATGACTCCAATATATCGATCACACTATTGTTATCGATCTTGACACCAATAGTCGCGATAACCTTCTACCTTACCACCACGTACTAGGTAATCTCACGAGCGTCTAGACGTGCTATATTCCTTCCCAAGCAATGGTCCCGGAGACATAGATGCCTTTAATTCGCGGATTGCGAGCAAACCTCATTGTTCGACTACTGCAATAAACGCCTATAGAACTGTCATTCGACCCATGTCGATTCGTTCTCAATACGGTTCTGTGGGTAGGGAGGGTGTTTGTGAATAGTGTTATCGGGACAACATAATTATGGCTTTCTTGGATTCAACGATGAGCCCTCGTTCGCCGTCATCAGGACGAATTAGGGAACTGTCGAGGTACGTTAACTCTGCTTTAATCAATGCAATGGGCTCAAAATAAGATGCTAAACAGCGTCTCTTTACTAGACTATATTCTTTCACCGGTACACCATTGACCTCGGAAACCCAGACCTCACCAAGGCCCTTTAGAAATCGTGATCGCAGCGTGTCTGAAACAGCCGCGTCTCTTACGTCGGATATTACTTTGAAGGCTCTAAACCAACTCGGACTTTATCGCTTCAACTGTACCCATTCGTTCACCTGCCTAACACTCGATCAACGGAGACACATTATCGCAGAAGCCAGCAGTTCCGTTTCATATGGGAAGGAGAGGCAGAGTCGGGATTCTGGTATCGATTTTGGCGGAGACTCGGGATCGGTATTCTCCCAGAATCCTGCACTGTTTGCCGGCCATGCTCAGTATAACGTGCCCGATATTATCGATACCACCGTCAAGGGAGAATGTTGTATAATTCTCGACACGAGCAAGGATGATTCTTTCAAAAGCCACCCCTATGTTGCGCAATGGCCCCATATGCGATTCTTTGCCGAAGTACCGATGCACGACCCCGAAGGATACGTCCTTGGTACATACTCTATCATGGATGTGAGTCCGCGCGCCGTATTCGATAATGCAGACATTGAAGCTTTACGAGGGATTGCGGAGTCAATTGCAAATCATCTTTGGACTCAGCACAAGTATAACAGGGCTGCGCGAATGATGAGCGGACTCTCGACATTAGTACAAAGCCCCAGCGATGAAAAGAACGAAGTTCAACGAAGAGGTAGTCAAGCGCACGTGAACGTATCAAGTGGAGGCAATCGAGACGAAGGAGGCTCATTTGCTACTCTACCTCTTTCATCGCCGACTAGACGATTATCTGACACGCAGGAAGTCGACAGCATTACTGTGCCAACACCGGGCGAAGTGTCGCCTTGCACTATGCGACCACAGCTTTCAGAGGATAACGAAGCAACTCCCACTGCACCTTTCCCGAAAGAGCCCGATACGAAATTCAACCTACCGTCACCTTTACCATTCGGGGAGCTCAACGACAGCATCAACCGGGTTAAAACTACAGAGGATAGTCGGAGAGCAAGTAGGCTGGTATCGGTGTCTGAGGCACCTACGGTTCCGCAACAGATCTTGACCTTGTTTGCTCGTGCCAGCTCATTGCTTAGAGAGTGCTTGGATGTAGAAGGTGTTTTGTTTTTGGATGCTTCTCGATCCAATACTCGAAGGTCAGTGTTCCATGATGTTTCAGCACCGCACTATCATGCTAACTCCAGTCTAGGAATTCGTGCATTAGCACAAGTATGTCGGATACAAGCCAGGACACGACGAGTACCGATACTTCTACGCATCCTCTCCGATCCCCCGGCCTGTCTTCTGATGGCACGTGGTCGAATAACGCGGGAAGACTCAGTGATGTATTAGGGTTTGACTTGGACGAGACGTCAGTCAAGAGCACAAACACCCCGGCGTTTGGATTTACGGACTTTTTGATACACGACATCATTACTGCATTTCCTCATGGAGAAAAATTTAATATCAACGAGCAAGAGAGCCAGCAGGTGGATGGCGAACCCGGATTTCCGGGGTTTTCTGCTCGTAGTCAGTTGATCTGTCAACTCACGAGTCGTTTTCCAGGCGCTGAATCCATTCTTTTCTTCCCATTGTGGGACTGGAACAAGTCCGGATGGCTGGCTGCTTGCCTCTTATGGTCAAGAGAAAGTGGACGGTTTAGTACTGAAGAGCTTGATTACTTGAAGGCCTTTGGTAACTCTGTCGTTTCCCAAGTTGCTCAGACTGATTTTACAACGAAGGAGAGGGCCAAATCAGACTTTATCTCGTCCATCAGTCATGAGCTCCGTTCGCCTTTGCACGGTGTTCTTGCCAGCACAGAGTTGCTACAGTCCACGCGCTTGCAGCCTGCTCAGCAGGATATGATAAGGATGGTGGAAACATGTGGTATCACGTTACTGGATACTATGAACTATTTGTGAGTTGTCCTTGTCACATCTATTCGTCAGCGACCACTAACAAGCGATAGGCTCGACTTTGCGAAAATCAACAATCTGACGGCGATTAATGCGAAAGGCAAATCTCCCGATTTGGCAACGACGTTCGACCTCGATAGCTTGATCGAGGAAGTGACCAACTCTCTGTACGCTGGACATCGATTCCCTAAGTCTGTCGACCAGGCTACAGGTCGGTTTCGACCCGGGAGTGTTGGATCATCACAAGACTCCAGTTCTGAGGTTAAGGCCCAAGACAAACTGTCAGTCGTCGTTCGCCTAGAAGAAGATGCGTGGTGTGTCCGCTCCGTATCGGGTGCATGGAGACGAATCGTCATGAACTTGTTTGGCAATGCGCTCAAATTCACCAAAGCAGGATTTATCGAGATGACCCTGTCGAGATCCGACATAGCCTCTGACCCGAAGCACGTGCTTGTTCATCTATCGGTGACTGATACGGGGTGTGGTATCTCCCCGGAATTCCTGGAAAATAGGATCTTTACACCATTTTCGCAAGAAGACATTATCTCGGAAGGCGTAGGCCTTGGCCTCAGCATTGTACAGCAGCTCGTGACCTCCCTTGGTGGATATGTCGAAGTCAAGAGTGAAGTCGGGGTTGGATCGCAGTTCGACGTGTTTATCCCCATTCAACGGCCCAGCGCAAGTCCACCGTGTGCAGTCCAAGTATCCGCGGACAAGGAGCCCAAGAAAGTTTCTCTCGTCGGTTTCAACCCGTACGATGAATTGAAGAAGGGACCAGCTGGCATGTTGACCGCCGAAGTCAAACGGAAACTCGCGCTCCGGCGGTCTCTCAGTAGCATTATCTTAACGCAGTCGGAGTGGATGGTGTCGTTTGCCGATTCCCTTAGTAGTGCCTCGGGTGACATTGCGATCATAGAGGAAGACAAACTACGAGAGATAGCCGCCAACGGACCTATTCGCACGGGCCTTGGACATATAATTATTCTTGGTGAGTATGGAACGCCCTTCGACAGCGACGATATTATTAAAGAAGCGACCGTTGTCCATGTTACTCAGCCGTAAGTGCTTCCATCCAGTGATACACCAACAAAGCTAACCATCTCCCAGCATTGGACCGCGGAAAATCCTTGAAGCCCTGAAGAAAGCACGCCCTTCTGCAAAGGAGCAAGCCAAAGCAACCAAATCCACTAGGATGTCCACCCTTGTCCACCAGTCGTCGATGAAAAAGCATCCATTATCGGACGTTTGGACTGCGAAGTCTTCTCCCTCTCCACCACTGCAGGAAAAGAAAGCCCAGAACGATCTCCATGTCTTGATAGTGGATGACAATGACATCAACCTTAAGGTATTCATGACGCTCTCGTTCACCTACGGCCATGACTGACTCGATTCAAGATATTGGAAACGTTCATGCGCAAGCTTGGAAGCAGCTACGCCACCGCGACAAACGGACAGATCGCCGTCGACAAATACCAACAATCCGAATGCCGGTTCGACTATATTTTAATGGGTAAGAATTGATCCGAAGCGCACCAATGGCGCATCCGTATGCTAATCATTATGCCAGATATCTCCATGCCCGTAATGGATGGCATCACTGCATCTGCAAAGATCCGCGAATACGAACATGAACAAGGCTTCTCCCCATCCATTATCATGGCTGTAACAGGGGTTGCGTCGGCCGCGACACAGCAACAAGCTTTTGACGCTGGTATTAATGACTATTTGGTGAAACCGATCTCACTTCACGAATTGAAACGAATCATGAATATTAAATAAATAACGGACATAAGTGCATCTCGGTGTTG